CCACTAAGAAGAATATATGCAGTGTATTATTTGTTGAAACTGTACTTCTGATTTGATTTGAAACTGTCTCATTGCTATCTGTTTATCAATAAAACTGTAGAAAAAAAATAAAAAAATAAAAAAATAAAAAAAATAAAAAAGTCAACACAAAGTTCCCAAGTGCATACAGGACATAATACTTAAGGCTGATCGATGACTATTTACTGATTTATGTGTTGACTATGTTAGATCTTCACCATTTAGAGCACACTTCTACTATAAAAACTCATTTTACTGTGGAGTGGTATGCCATGTTAGGTCACTGCAGCCTCTTACTCGCTGTGTTTACTGTATATCTCTCTCTTCTCTCTCCTCCCCCCTTTCCCCTCTCCTCTCTCTCTCTCTCTCTCTCTCTCTCTCTCTCTCTCTCTCTTTTCCAGGAATTGAACTCAGGACCTTGTACTTGCCAGGCAGGCTCTGTGCCACTGAACTGTATCCTTGCCCCTGAATCTCTTGATTATATAATTTTCTCTTGTGCTGGATTTAATCTCATGTTGTTTTGTCACACAACATACAATAAATTCTACTCACACTGCAGCCTGGCTGTGTTGCAGGACACAACATCTGGCTTTGAGGGTATATCTGTGGCATTCACAAGACAAAGTAACCTAAGGACACATTTTTCAGAACATGTTCCTATTGTTCAGTGTTATATGACTGCATTTTGTGTGTGTGTGTGTGCAGAGAGAGAGAGAGAGAGAGAGAGAGAGAGAGAGAGAGAGAGAAACAGACAGAGAGAAGGGGTGTGTTAATGTGAGTGCATGCATGTGCTGTGTGTAAGCATCTCCTGGCACTTGTGCCCGGATGTAGTAAGACAAGCAGCTGCCTCTCTGACAGTGACAGCTGCAGCTGCACCATCCGTCATTACACAAGCCTTGGCTTTGGGTGGTTTCTTGGGTTCAGGATCTCCCAGAAGCAGTCCCTGAGCTGAGCTTCTGAGAAGTGGAAGTGGTTCTGGTACATGCCAGGTAAGTCTCCAGTAGTAGCAGTGGGGAGGTAAGAGCAGCCAATGAAGGACACATTAGCAAGCAGGGCACTGCCAAGGCAGGCACTGGGCGATGGAATGTGTGTCCCAAGTTACCCCACCTCGGGGAGGTCGTAGCCGGCCTGCCTTGTTATGGGGTGAATTGTGCACCCAGAAAGACACATGTGGAATCCCCAGGCCCAGTGCAGCAGAATGCGGACACGTTCTGAAAAAGAGCCACTGCAGTGTAACTAGTCAAGAGACCGTCTGACTGGAGTAGGACAAAACCTTAATCCAAAAGAATAGTTTCCTTTCTCCAAAGTGGCCCAGTGAGGAGATGGAGACACAACTGCAGAAGTGGCATTGAAGAGGACACAGATTGGAAAACGCTGCCATCAGCCACCAAGTGCCAGGGCTGCCAGGAGCCAGAAGCAGCAGGGTAGAAAGGACCCCTCTCGCCCCGCCTGCATCGTGATTTTGGACTCATGGCCTGCAGGAATCAGGGGAACACATTTCTGTGGTCTGAAGACACCTCACTGGGGTCCCTCATCCCGGCAGCTCTAGGAAGCTAGGGGAACAGGCCTCTGCCACGACACTCATCTACGACAGGGGCTGCCCCGCAGCCACACCAGCCCCAGTGCCCCTCTCAGGCCTCTGCTCGCTGCCGGTCCTGACCCCATAGCCAGGAAGGGAGCTTAAGGGACAGAGGGAGAGACAGACAGACTGTGAGAGAGACAGAGAGGCAGAGACAGACAGACTGAGAGAGGCAGAGAGAGACAGAGAGACTGAGAGAGATAAAGAGAGGACTCAGCCTTCTCAATGCGTGCCCAGGTTAGGGCGGTTTGCCACCGACTGCACAGCACTAACCAGCATGCTCCTTGGCTGAAGCCTCACCTCCCCCAGAAGAGTGTGTCTAGTGCTCACCTAGGAAGAATCTGGCTAAACTGGCCCTGCCACTCTTGACTTGGCAGAGAACACAACCAGGACTTTCCAGGCAGGTAGAAGTCAGCCACGAGCCTGCTCATGCTTGCCACCTTGCATCAGACTTGTGGTGACCCTCTGCCTCGGCCTCGGGTGCTAGGATTACAGGCATACACCAGTGCACCTGGCTTACGGCGATGAGGTTTTACTTGTAACTCTTGGGCTTGAGCAATCCTCTTGCTTCAGCCTCCCAAGTAGCGGGAACTCAGGGAGGTACCACTATGCCAGGTTAAGCAGGGGGTGGCTACAGCTCCGCTTCCCAGTGCCTTTTCACCACCCTTCCAAGCACTGGGGGTGAACCCAGGGCCTGGCGCCTGCTAGGTAAGTGCTCTACCACAGAGCTCCACCCTCCATTTTAAGGGGGTTTTAAAAAAATAGCTTATGATTTTCTAAACCATTCTTCAAGCCTAGTTGCTCCGAGTGGCGCAGCAGATGTTTCCCCTCTGACATCTGCCTCTGCCCAGCCTGAGCATTCTTCTGGTTTGGAAGGACTGCTTTTTTACCTAGTAATCATCCAACGACCAACAAATCCTATTGCCATCTTTCAGAGTTTAAAGAATGGATTTGAAAGTCACATTCCTCCCAACTAGCACAAAGGAAGCTGAGAAACGTGAAGTTTTGAGTCTCAGGTGAATCATTTATTATTTCAAACTGAGACAAATAGATTTTCAAAGAGAGCAGCACACCGTCGCAAGCATGGGAATAGGTCTATTTCGCAAGAAAGAATATGCTACAGGTCATGCTATTCATGTCTTCAGTAGCATTCTGGCAAAAAGTAGGGACATTCCCAACTGTGTCAAACATTCAGGAACAGTAAATGCTACTTTCTGCCTTTGGGTAAATAAATGGTGTCTTTCAGCAAAGAGGTGGTAAGTGGGTACCAGAAGGGCTATTTCTTAAAAGTGCTTGTCGCTTGTTAGCCCCTTTGGCTAAATTTCTCAGCTATTTTCTGTAATTCCAAATCCATCGCAGCCAAGTTTTCAAGTTGTTTTTCCTGAAAAATATAGAAAAGAGTAGACATGAGGTTCCACCCCAATTTATGCTGCTGTTGCTTGAGGCAGTCTAAATTCAAAGGGAATTTACATACGTTGAGAGGAATTTACATACGTTGGGAGAAATTTACATATGGTGGGAGGAATTTACATACGTTGGGAGGCCTTAGGAGTTGACCTACAGGAGTGGTCTCTGGCCCAGGGAGTGGTCTCTGGACTGACAGTTTAGGCAACCTCAAGAAACTTGTCAGAAATGCAAACTCTTGGGTCCTCCCCTGTATGGATTAGATCTAGAATGTTTTACTACGCTTTCATTAGCTTAGGGTTAGGGCTTTTGGAAAGGTGATTAGATGAGGGGGGCACTGTACTCAAAGTAGGATTCGACAGCTGTATGTGCTTTTAGAAGTGGGCCTCACTCTTTGCTGGCTCCTCCCTCCCCTCTCTGCTTCTTCGCTGCCACCATGAGAGCGGCTGCCCTCTGCTCCACCCTCTACATGCCACTTCTGCCTTGGAACCCATCAGCCACAGACTGCAACGTGAGTCAAAGTAAGCCTCTCTCCTTTTAAACTGTGGGTGTCAGGTATTGCATATCAGAGAAGTGACTAAGACACACCCTAAAACTACTAAATCCCAATCCCAAAACCCTCCTGATTCTGAAGCACATGCGAGTTTGAGAAGCAGCAAGCAACAGAAGCAATATTAAGGGGAAAAATTGTTTGGAAAGGTAGGGCTTTGATAATGTTTTTTTCCTAGATATAAATTCTTATTGTAGTAGGACATAAACCTATGAGGACAGGCCAAAACAACTGACTTCCCTATTGCCTGTTCCTCCTAGCCTGAAGGACAACAATCAAGAAGATACAAGAACAGTGCTTGCCGGGGTTGGCTGGACGTTGGAATCACTGGGATCTTAGAAAAGTCAGGCCGCAGCCAGTACTAATCAGACAGAATCTCTGGGGTGGCTCCCATACTTGGGAATTTTCCAAGCTCTCCAAGTGATTCTAATGTGCAAATGAGGTTGAGAAGAACTGCCACAGAGAGGGAAGCCAGAAAAGTGGAGCCCAACCTGATGGCGGGTGGACGTCAGCCACAGAAGTGGTCTCCACGCAGTTACTAGGGCTACCTTCTCATAGCAAAAGACTCATTTCTCCACATTATTATCAGATGCTGCTGAACATAGCATCCTGACCATGACCATCGTAAGTCAACATTAGACAGAAACCCCTTTTTACCTCTTCCTCTGTCAGAACTCTCTGGTCACCTCCTTCTTGCTCATTTTCTGCCTCCTGGAGTGCATCCATCTGTTCCTCAGAGTCATAGAAATTGGGGAATTCAGCTGATTTCTTTCTGTAATGCAGGAGCTGGTCTAGCTCAGCCACCCTGTCATATTGCCTTTTCAGGTCCAGTTTGGGGGCCCTAGGGAAGCTTCTCTTCTCATATCCCCAACTCACATCCTCAGAGAAGGGCTTTTTCTCCCACCAATCATAGTTGTATTCTGGGAAGAAATTCTTCTTATTCAAGGTCAGTGCATTTTCTTCTTCATCCTCAAGAAAACCGTCATCCATGTTGTCTCTTCTCTCAAAATGGCTGCTCTTCCACTGAAGAGGGTCAAAGTACGGGTTGAACAGCACTCCTAATCTCTTCCTCTTTCCAGTGGTGTGATGGGAGACGTATTGTCTGTCTGGAAGCCTGTCTTCCTCTCCATTTTCTCTAGGGTCTTGCAGGTCCTCCTGCTGCTGCCACTTTGGGGGGGCTCCTTCCTCACCATAATTGAGGTAATTTCCATCCTGTTCTTGCCACTCTTCTTGTGGATGTCTCCTCGCCTTGTCCATCTGGCCTTCCTGAACATGGTGGTGTTCTTCACCCAAGAACCTTTTCTCTTCTCTGGTGTCAGGAGTAGAATAGACACCTGGCTTCCTTCCCCTCCTTCCGTAATGGTGTCCTTTTCCCAGCTCATGGTCTCTGTTTTCCTCACTCTCTTCACTGTATCCCTGTGCCATGTTGTCAAGCTCTGGGCTAGGGTGGTTCCTCTTATTGTCCTCCTCCCAACTCTCCTCACTATGAGGCCTTGGAGCCCTGTGATCTTCACTTCCTCTGCCTATGTACTGTCCATCCTCCAGGTCCTCAGGAGCCTGGACATCTGGATAGCCCCTCACTTCTTCTCCATATTCAGGTTCTTCCTCTGAAGCTCGATAGTGGGTAAAATGGTGGGCCCTCTTTTCTCCTAAACTTGTCATGGCCATGTTTGTCTCCTCAGATTCCTGTCCCTTTTCCTCAGAAGGAAGATTCCCTCCTCGAAAGGAGCTGTCAGGCCTGGTCCTCCCATGGTGGTGCCTAGGCCTCATGTGTCGTTTGGCCACCTCGGTCTCATCTTCTTCACTTTCCTTGGATTCTTCCTCACTCTGCACTTGGCTGCGAGACTCTTGAGGGTGTTTCTCCTGGTTTTTCATCTCCTCTTCACTCTCTGGTCTGTTCTTCTCCCTGCTGTGTGTCTTCTCAGGGAGCCCAGCAGAGTGTGTACCTGATTTGGCCACCAATTCCTCTTTTTGCTTCACTGAAACCTGGTTTCTTTTGCTGAGAAAGGCATTCTGCATGTCTCCTGCCTCCTCAGTGGGTCTCCCTTCACCGGCCTCTTTGCCATGCTCCCTTTCTGGATGGTCCTCTTCCTCTTCTTCCTCCCTGCCCTCTTCCTTACTCTCCTCAGAATGGAGTACCTTGGCTTCTTCAGAGACTTGGCCATTGTCCTTGGAGGGATAGAGACTCTCCGGAGACTCGTCTGGACCTTCTTGGCTGTGTTTGCCTCCCTCTTCCACCTTTTCCTTGCCAGCCTCTGGCTGGTCTTCAGCATCTGCCTCCCCTGGGGCTTGGGCTTTCTCCCCGCTGGAAGGCCTGTGGGCTTCTGTGGCATCACCTGGGTCTCGTAGCAATCTCACTTCAAACTTTGTATTTTCAGACTCACTCTGGCCTTCATCTTTGACCTCTTCTCCACCTATAATGAAAATAGAAGAGTGAATATAACCTCAGAGATGCTTGGATTCAGCAAGTTCCAGCCTTTGTAACCACTGCAAATCCGGGGACTTTATTGACTATTTAAATGAAAAAAGAATATATCCAGATTCCTGTGAAAAGCAAATGCTTCAGGAGAGCACTTTGACATCAGCTTAAAATTTGTATTTTTATGTTTTCATAACACTCAACCAGCCTGCCCCTGGGAGGATCACTGGTAACACTGAAGTCCAGATATAGATTTATGACACATTAAAATGTAGAACCAGAAAAAAATCTTAGAATTCATCCTGGCCAATCTCCTTTACTTGTAGACATGAGGCACACTGACAATCGGGGCATAATTTGGGATCATCCTTTCATATTGATGCTAAATAGGGTGAATCAGCATGCCGTGGACAGCTCTACCTAAAGTTTGGTAGCCAAAGGGGAAACATGGAGAATCAAAGGAAGAATTAAAATTGAACCATCTATCAGACTTTCCCATCCAACACACACATTGGCTCCACTCAGTAGCAAGTGACACCTGGACTCAGTACAGTGACGTGCTGCATGGCTACCTGCCTGTGGCAGCCCACAGCGGACAGCTAGAGCAGTGATGGCCATCAGATTATGTCACTGGGGGAAGCCACACTGTCTTCATTTGTATAAGTACACTCTGCAGTGTTTGCACAGCAGATAGCCTGATGTTGCATTACTAAGTGAGAAGGGAGAGCATTTCTTTCCTGAGAAAATTGCACAAGCGTACAGGGGACCTGCGCTCATGTCTCATCCTTCTCCATGCTTTGGTGGTTTTTTGGCATCAGGAATCAAACTCAGGACCTTCCCCTTGCCAGGCAGGCACTGCGCTGCTGAGCTCCCTACTGGCCCTCCACATGTTTTTGGTGCTGAGGACAAGCTGTAGTGTCCCGAGTCATGTTCCAGGAGTCAGCAGGGGGTGGTGTAACTGATATCTTGCTGTTCTCTCCCATCTTTTGCAAATATCAATAGTGTTTTCACTAAGTCCCCCCAACTCAAGGGCACCTCGTGAGAGGAGACGGGTAATTAATGCTGTCTCCCTGGCAGCTGGAGGGCTTGGGTTTCCGCTGTGTCACTGAGTTCAGTCAGGGCGCCTGAAGCCGAGGTGCACACCATCACGGGCAGCCACCAAACCTTTGTGGCTCTGGTTCTTGAGCTGTAGCTGACACAGGTAAGACATGCAGCGATTTCCAAAAGATCATAGGAAAAAAATGTAAAATGTCTCAGAAATGTTCTGTATTGGCTCTATGTTGAAATGATAATATTTTGGGTACCTTTAATATTACAGATACATTGACTATGTACATTGTATATTAGATAAAATAGAGTGTAGAAGTAAAATGTATGATTGAAAAATAATTTCACCTGCTTGTACTTCTTAAATGTTGTTACTAGGAAATTTGAGGCTATACTTTTGGCTCTTCTTATATTTCTATCCAGTGGCACTGATGAATCATTTCTGAAGTGATGTTTGCAAAAGGGGAGACGACCACTCTATTTTATCAAAACATCCAGGAAAGAGTGGACTGTCTACTCCCTATTTAAAGCCCAGCCTGACACGATAATAATATCCTTGTGTTTATGAGGCAATGGGCATGTCCAGAACTTCCGCATCCAGACCCCTGAGGGCGGTTGTGGCCACCTAGGGGAGCTGTGTGCAATGTAGGGGCAGGGCCAGCTGGGGCAGCCCTGGGAAGTAGGAAAGCTTTGGGTGCTGCTTTTGACTGTGTGTACTAGCCTCAGACTCCCAAGTGGAAGTTCTTGTCCCCAGTGTGGGAGGTATTTTGTCACGAACAGCCCCAGCAATGGGATCGCTGGCCCAGTAAGAGGAACCATGAGGCTGGGCATGGTGATGCATGCCTGTAACCTCAGCACTTGGGAGGCTGAGGCAAGAGGATCACCAAGAGTTTGAGGGCATTCTGGGCTACACGGTGAGTCTAGGCCAGCCTGAACTATATACCAAGACCCTGTTTCAAAAAAAAAGGGGGGGTCCTGGGGAGACAGCTCAGTGGCTTAAGAGCCTACGTGGCAAGCACCAGGTCCCAAGTTTGATCCCTGGTACCAAAAATAAAAATAAAAAGCCTTGCAAAGAAAAAAAAAAAAGATCGTGTGAAGGCACAGTGAGAAGGCGGAAGTCTGAAGCCATGAAGTGGGCCCCACTGGACGCCTTGACCTCAGACACCAGCCTCTACCACTGTAGGAAGCAAATGTTTGTTGTTGATGGCTGCCCACTCTCTGACAAGCAGAGGCTGAAGTCACCCTACGGAGAATGAATCAGATAAGATCTCAGCCTCCAAAACAGAAGCCCCTTGCCCTTTACTACTGCCTGGGGGCTGGTGTGCGTAGGTGTGTCAGGAGGACAAGATTTTTGTTTTTCTCCAGTTAACTGTGTACTGCCTGTCACAGCATGGGCCTGAGGCTTAACACTTCACCCTAAATTTAGCATTAGGCCCTGCAGGTGAGACTGAAAAAGGGCTGCAATTAGCAGCACAGGGTCACCCTCAATCCCTAAAACCAAGGGATGGAGTTCACTCTTGCTTTCAAGTTAAGAGAGAAATGGTATAGTTGACACACTATATCAACTTGAAAAGTCTAGAAGCCTAACTAAGTAACTCAACCCCATTCTACATCCTAGCGTGTAGCTCAGGTGCCCTTACTGTACTAGGATGTTGCTCCTTGTGTCAACTTAAAAAGTTTAAAAGTTGAATGGAGGGGCTGGTGAGATGGCTCAGTGGTCTAAAGCACCTACTTAGAACAAGTTTAGCAAAGCACAGGGACCTCAGTTGACCTCGGTTCAATCCCCTAGCACCACATGCCAGCTAGCCCTGCCCCCTGGTGGGCTGAGCTGGCCACACACACACACACACACACACATAAATAAAATTTAAAAAAGAAAAAAAAAGTTGAATGGAGTGATGTAGCCAGGATCCTCACTTTGTAAACATCCTGCAGAAGAGGAGGGCAGGGACGCGGTGAGAGGGCCACATCCTCCCGTCCCCAGCTGGGGGCAGCCTGCTTACAATATAAGGGAGGAAAAGAGGCTTGCTCTCCCCCTTTTGCTCTTGCTGCTTCTGCTGTCCTCTGCGGCCCTGAAGTGTTGCTCCCGCGCAGGGCTGCCCTGCCTGGGAGCCAGCTGATTACGGACTGAGACCTCCACAAACTGTGAGCTAAATAAACCTTTCCTCCCTTAATTTTGGGTGTCATATACTTTGTCTCATCAAGGAGAGAAAAGTAAGACATTTCATCCCTGTGCTGCTGCAAAGATGACCAGATCAGCCCTGGCCAAAGAGACCTGATTTCTATCTGCTAGAAAGTGGGACTATGGATTCCCTAAAGTCTCTGTAAGCATCAAATGCTGATTCTTCCCTTCTCCCCCAAACGCTCGCTGGCTCAGTGAATGTGAGCTGCTGTGAAGTGTGGGACTGGAGATGGCTTCAAAAGGAACGGAAGCCTTGGGGAGGAACCCGTCCACCCCACTGGCCAAGGCTCAAGTCTTCTGATTAGTTTAGCACCGGCTGGGGAGAGAGGGCTGAAATAGCTCAGAAGGTGCAAACCATTGGCCCGGAGATGAGCTCTGAATTCTCACTCAATTCAAATCCAGAGGCAATATTTAAATAGCAAGGCATGTTGCTTAAATATCAAAATTTAGCTATAGGTATAGTTCACAGGTTTAGCACTTGCCGGGCATGTGTAAAACCCTGGACCCAATCCCAAGAACTACCATAATAAAGAAAGAAAGAAAGAAAGAAAGAAAGAAAGAAAGAAAGAAAGAATATAACTTCTTTAGAAAAAATGGAAGACTACAGAGTTTGCAGTTCTCTAGAACAGGATGCAAAATAGAAATATGCAATTTAGATCGGATCATGTGACTCACTTCCTGGTCTGCCTTTCTCTTTCACTAAAGTGCTGGGATGCCCTGCTTCTACCCTATGCCCTCAGGCTTTAGAGCTGAGATTCCTGGCAGCATATGTTGGGAACTCTTACTCTAATAAAGTTCTTCATTAAAATGTACAAATCTCCCCTGTAAACAGGCTTGAAGTTTTCAAGTCGCCTTTTTCAGCTTTTAAATTCTCACTGTCAGAAGAATAGAAGGCAAAGCAAAGATTGTTCTGTCTTGCTCTATCCTTTTATATTCCAGGAGCCCACCAGCCACCCCCCCCCAAGCAACACACTTTCTATTGCTCAGTCCACCCTGATGGAGGCCTATTCGAAAACAAGCTGGGAATGCAGGTGCACCCCTGTAAATCCAGCACTTCGAGAGGCCGAGGCAGGAAGATCACAAGGTTGAGCCCAGCCTGGGCAACTCAGTGACTTAATGAGACACTGTCTCAAAGTAAAAGTAAATTTAAAAAGGGCTAGGAAAGTAGCTCAGTATAAAGGTCCTGGGTTCAATCCCAGTATCATCAAATGAAACAAAAACAAACAAAAGAAAAATCCAATATACAAATCCAAGGAATTTTAGAATTGGTGGACTGCCATTGAGCTCACTGCCCTCATTTTACTTTGAAGAAAAAAGCCCAGCAAGGCCAGGGTCTTCCCATGGTCACCTAGTCACTAAGAAGTAGAGCAGCATTGCCAAGGAGGTCTGTCTCTGCCTCCCCCTGTACTCCTCTATCCAGCCATCACCCTTATGCCCCTAGTTCACCTGAGAGGAGCAGAGGGAGTAGAAGCCATGACCACACAGTGACAAAGGGCTACTTGCAAGTAACACTTACTCTTCTTCAGGACTTGCCGGCACTCAGGGGTGACAGCTGGAACGCTGGACTTGGACAGGGCATTGGAGAGAACCTCAATGATGCAGCGAGTCACCTAGGGAAAACACAAAAGCCGGTGGGAGAAGCTGGTGTCACTGTGACTCTGACCCAGAGCTGCTGTGTGGGAAGGCTTGATTCTGTCACCCATGCTGATATGGGGTGCTTAGGGCTGAGACCAACACTTCCAGGGCTGCCAGGAAGCCCCCAGGCTCGAGCCACCCAAGGCAGTGCAAGAAGGCACTGAGCTGTGATTCCTCAGAAGGGAAATACACAGCCTTCTCTGAGCAGATCAGATGACATAGCTGTGCGTAGAGACCTAGGCCCTCCAGGGGGAGGTAGGAGCTCAGGACAGGAGGGCAGCCTCGCTGGTGCTTTCCAGGAAAGCCTGACATTGTGTGTGTCCACTTGTGTGTGATAGAGTATAGAGGAGTCTAGAGCCCACACAAAGTCTAGATTCTAGGCTGATGCTTTAACTTAACTTACCATCTCTTCATTGTGGTTCCTGTTATCCACTGGCACAGAGCCGACAGCTTGGAAGGAGAAAAAAAGTGGAAGATGGCTTGAGGTGACTCTGGAGGCCGAGTGAGAAACACACACAGTCATCCCACTCTACTTGGAATGAGGGGCAGAGTGAGCTGAACAGAATTAGGTAGTTACATGTGATTATTGCAGACCATGACCGCCCTGGGTGCACGTGCACACATCTGCCCATGTGCACAAGCATGCCACACCTTTGTACATGTCCATACATCTACACACACGGTTGTTTTCCCCTGGCAATGTCTTTTTTTTTTTTTTTCTGGAACCGGGGATTGAACTCAGGCCCTTGCGCTTGCCAGGGAAGCACTTATTCTACTGAGCCATCTCCCCGGCCCCTACCCTGGCAATGTCTTAACCATATTTGGAAATAAATGCTATCTTGCATCCAGTCTAAATCAGCTCCAAACCTCAAACAAGAGAGACTCTGCGTGTTGGTAATATTCCATATCTTGAGCTGCGTGCTAATTACAGAGATGTCCCAAGTTTGTGAAAAAATCATTAAGCTGTATACTCGTGATCTATGCAGTTTTCTATTATAACGCATGTCAATAAAGAGTTTATTTTTTATCAAAAAATTTAGAGCAAGCAAAATAGAAATAGAACCAGAATGTCCTCTCGATCGTCCTCTGTCTACTTCAAATGGGTACAAATCTATGGCTACCTCTGCCTATCCCTGTTCTCCCCAAAAACCTCTTACACTTCTCTTTCAGTCTAAAATCTATAAAATCTTCCAAAGAGACATAGCTGAGGGAATTGCTTTTTAAAACTCCAGCGTTTGTAGACACTCTTTGCTAATGCAACTTTGTGCTAATACTTCTCTTTTCTGGCCGGGGAGATGGCTCAGTGGAATAAGCGCTTCCCTGGCAAGAGCAAGGGCCTGAGTTCAATCCCTGGTTCCACAAAAAAAAAAAAAAAAACAAAAAAACAAAAAAAAAAACTCTTTTCTGTTCACAATTGAAAAATAGATGCTTTCATTAACCACTGATGCTCTCCAAGTGTAACAGTTAGCAGATTTGAGGGAAGAGAATTTGCTTTTGTTATTCTACACAGACTACAGTTCACATTTGGCTTTATAGAACAGCTCAGTTCTCCACCCGGGGCCCTACACAGCCTTTCTGAGGTAAAGGAGCTGGGTCTGCTTGTGGAGCACAGCATGATCAAGGTGAGGCCTTCTAGTCCACCTTGCTTCTCTCAATGGAATCTGTGATAGCAAAGTCCAATTTGTCAATTGCCCTAAAGTAGTTCAGCCCATTTTAAGTGGAAAGGAGGAAAAAAATTAATACTTTGTTAATGAAAACATAAAAGTCATCATATGATGATGAATCTAAGACTATTCTAATTTATTAATACTTCATAAAACTTTTTTTTTTTTTTTTTTGCAGTACCAGGGATTGAACTCAGGACCTTGCACTTGCCAGGCAAGTATTTATTACTGAGCTATCTCCCTGGCCCCCTCACAAAACTATTAAGGTTGGATCCCACATTGAAAATATAGCTGCAGTAAAGCACCTGCTTAGGTCCTATCTCCAGCCTGCTATGCCAGCCCCACCCCCACAGCATGCTGAGATGATGATTGAGACTAGGAATGGTGGTGCGTGCCTGTAATCCCAGCACTTATGAGGCTGAACACAGGAGGATCACTATGAGACTGATCAATGGAAAGAGACCCCATAGGCCCTGTTGACCCTGGACTAAATACATAAGGAGGAAGAAGAAGAAGAAGAAGAAGAAGAAGAAGAAGAAGAAGAAGAAGAAGAAGAAGAAGAAGAAGAAGA